ACCTCCCACATCGAGCAGCTTCGTCAACGTCGCTACGGTCTAGGACATCATCTTCACCGTATTCGCCGAGGCGCGAGTTGATGGTATGGACCGGGGTACCTGGAAAGGGGAAGACCGATATTTTCTTTGTAGACCCCGACTGAAGGTGAGCGCTGGCGGTTACATCAAGTAACTCGAGAAGAATATCCTCCCTACATGTGGTCGCCCGTACCTTCTTGGAGACCTTGTGCTGCTACAGGTTTGGGTGCCACCACATGGAATCGAAGGGTTTTGGAAAAACTCCCGCCTACTTCGAATGGAAGGGCGTTTCGTACCTGAAGAAGATGTAATATTGAAGTATGTCCCCTGACCTGAACCCACTCAATTACCTAGTTCGGGCGGAGCTCAACAGGGTGGTCTACAGTGGCGGAGAAATCAACGATCTCGCTCAACTCCGGTACCCACTCACTTTCGCGCGGCCGAATCTCTCGATGGCGCTCCTCCAGAAGGCTGTGGCGGAGTATCATTATAGTATTTAATGTGCTCTTTAATATGGTAGTAAAAATGTCCGATAAAAATTTAATAAAGTGTAACTTATAGCGCCTTGAAAGTCATGGAGGCAAAATGACTTTTTTTTGGCCCCCCTGTATATCCATCAGCATCACACCGCTTCATACCCCGCTTCATAATTTGCTTAGCAAATGAATCAATACGAGCGTCAGGAACGGTCGTCCATTGTGGGGGGCGTGGCGGGCGTTTGGGTCGGAATGTTGTGGCTTGATAGGGCCCTTATAAGGGCACCTCCCTTGGAAAAGGCACTATGCAACGCCTGCTCAAGGTCGCGGAATCCCGTCCTGCCAGGCGTATTAGTCCTACTCGCTTTGGGGATTTATCGTGCCAACTGCCTTTAAATGTAGAGAAAACTCGGTGCTCACAACTGTGGACCTTTCTCCTTCTTCTCTAAAAAAATATATTTGCACGTAGACAGAAAAAGCTTTCGGGTTCAGCATATGAACTTACTTTTACGCCGGTAAAGAACTATGGCCACAATGACAGAGGTGATAATCAACAGCAACACGAATCCAACAATGGCCATAATGATAACACTGTAAAAGAACACAATGCAAATCTGGGGTGCCAAAGCAGGTGTGATGACACGCAACAGCGTCCCCATTCCTGCTTTGCAAGTACTCAAAATTTAATACTCTTTCGATTATATTAGGCTAAAAAAGCGCTGGGACGAGCACCCATCGCTTTTTTATTTCCTTTATCTATCAACGACTGGTTTTATAAGATCTATGATAATATATCGTGAAAGTGTTCCGTCTACTTTATGAGAACTTATCACAACTTCTTTGTGAAATCGAATTTCCACTGGAATTCAAGAGGGAACATGTGAAGATTTTGTTGTCGTGGGGGGGGGGGGGCATTCCGTTAGCGTAAAGTCCGCAAATACAGAACGTGCTGAGCTGACTTATTACAAACTCTCGAGAAGGTGGTCTTGACGACCGATTTGAGGTAGCGGGCCTGTCACAGCAGAATTGAGCGTCGAGCATATTAGAATATGTGAAGAAAATAGATACTGTTACAGACCAGAAACCCAGTCGGGAGAACAGAAACGATGAATGAGAGAACAGAGAGCTAAGAAGGCAAGAAGAGAAGAAGATAGAGCTCGGTCCTGCACAGAATGAACGCAGCGCCTCACACCCTAATGGTACCTAACAATTAGCCGCACCGCTAGGCGTCGCGTGCAACGTCGCGCCGCAAATAATAATGTTTCTAGGCAGTAGATGGCGACAATAGTCAATAGCTATAGATGTTCGTGATGTCGTAGTTTACGCGAAATCTGGTGCTCCAATCGAAGGCCAATAAATCCTGGAAACGTCACGCCTACAGCCGCGCGCGCGGAGGCGGCAGATTGCGATCCTCCTCGCCCGTCCCTCCGCCCCCCCCCCCTCGCATATTTGCTAGAGGCACATCATCCTCATTCTGGGCGTCGCAACTTCTACACGGGTAGCCTTCCGCTGTGCTTTCTTCAGTCACAGGAGGACTGCAAAGTGGGACACCCTTCAAGGTTGCTGACTAGACTACCTGCACAAGGAACAGATTCTACCTATTAGGTGATGGAGAAATGTGTCTTTGACCTCTTTTTTTCGAGAAGTAATAGGGCGCGAAGGGATTGAAGGCAAACTCCATGCCGATCGTGCGGAAGAATCGGTCCTACCGTTTTGCCATCACCAACGTAACTTTTCTTTACATGACAGTATAGAGGAAGGCGTGGCATGAGAAGAGCACAGTGACTCCGCCCATGATGCAGTCACTATCGGTGCGTCATAGGAAGGCGTTCCTGTGTTTGTACGTTTTGGCGCGACGCCAGCCTGTTTTCACAGTAGTTGCTACTATGGAGGGGAGCGGGTACACCATTGAAGGAAAGAGTCTGGTGCCACGGCAAATGTTGTGCACACACCATTTGCGTGGCACCAGTGTCATGGCTGAGGTGTCGGCTGGCAGGGACGCCTTCTAGCCGACATCCCAGCCATGGCACTATACTAATTATTGAAACAGAGCTAGGAATAATGTGGTTCGTAGGAATGATCGTGTTTTAATTATATTAATTAGAAGCATTTACTGCCATCATCAACTTGAAACCTGTCTTAGAATACTTACAACATGTAACCACGACTGTCCTCCTGCTTCGGTGCATTCGGTATCTTAACTCTGTGTCGACCGCTGGCCCCTTCGTTGTTGTCTCCCTGTTGGTCAGGTGGCCTGAATAAAAACGATTTAGGCTGCTGTTCCACATTCGTTTTTGCTGCAAATGGTGGAGCGTGTCAGGGAAACGCTGAGATCGACTTGACGCCAGTCCGTTCACCAGCAACTGTTAAAGCGTGCAATGGACACCATCCGATGGAGAACGCGCTAGCGGCGCGTCAAACCAGCTTTCCTTCTTAGCCCAGCATTTGCAGCAAAAAGGTCTATAAATATTACTCCTACGACTTGTTATTGCAGCTTACTGAAAAACATATAGTGCACCTCTTATGTTAAAGGTTGGACTCTTCAAGAATCGCCT